CTCCATCCCCAGGCTTCCCAGCAGTGCTGCTGCTCTGGTGTTTGTTTTTCCAACATCCCTGCCCTTGCCGTGTCCTTTGGCAGCAGCACGGGCTCAGCAGGGACAAGGCGATGGGTGCCAGGGAAGCTGGAGCAGCAGCTGGTGGGAGCAGCGCGCTCTGGACATCTGCATCGTCTCCCCCCGCGGCCCCCTCCTGGTGCCCTCCCGCTCCTGCCGCCCGCTCGTGCCGGGCACCCCGTGTCACCGCACGCCGTGATGGCCTAGGGGTGGGTGCAAGGGGCTGTTAACCAGCGGTGCTGTCCCGTGCCAGGCTGCAGGTGCCCTTGCCCTGCTGGCATCCAGCCCCTGGTCACCTTTGCAGTGAACGGTGCCACAGTCGAGCCTGTGTCCTGCAGGCCAGCACCAGGTTTTCCCCAGCCGGGACGGGATGGAGGAGGCTGAAAGGCTGCAGTTGCCACCAGCTCTCAGCATGGACCTCCCTGCCCCTCGACCTACGCCACGGATCAGCTTTAGCAGCAGCGCATGCAGCCGGCAGGGCCGCTGTGGATCAGCACCCGTGCGACTCGGGCCATCCCGCGCACGGTTCCTGCAGGCAGCCGGGCCGGGGACGAAGCGGAGCAGGTCACTGTGGCCCTGGCTGGTGGCTCAGGGTAAATGTTGAGTCTTTGCAACCTGCAGTTCTCGCTTTGCCCCGTCCTGCCTCAGTTTCCCCAGCCCAGCCCCTCAGCTGGCCCCCAAGGACACGAGCAGCACAGGAGATGCCGGAGGTGCTTGTGCAGCTGCAGCGCAGGAGGCAGGTGGCTGCTGTGGCCACGAGGCGGCCCTGCTGAGGAGGCTTCTCCCACTTACAGCAGATAAAGCACTGAAAGCTCCTCATCCTCTCCAGGGAGTGCAAAACATCCATCTTCCTTCCGCTGGCGTGGGGGCAGCGGTGCCATCACCTGTGTTCATCTCGCTCTGAATTATCTGTGGCCGTTGCTGGATAAGAGTCTCGGAATAACGGCGAGAAGCGGTTTCAAGGCTGGGGGGGAGAGGAGACGGGCACCTCCTGTCACTTGCGGCCCTTGGCTCCTGGCTGTGTTTCACTGTAGCCTTCTGGTGCTTGTTTGACCTCGGCAGCATGTGAAGCCTGCGTGGATTCAGCTCGGGAGCCTCGGCGAGCTCGAGGCGCCCCGCACCGCGCGGCTCACCCGGTCCTTGGGTCACCCACTCGTCCGCCGCTGCGTGGAGCATC